ACCAAGAAAATGAAATTTTAATTAAGTGGGTTTTTTAATTTTTTTTTTTTTTTTTTTTTTTTTTTTTTTTTGTTTTGATTTATTCGTTTCTTTTTTTTATTATATTATATCAAATATAATATCTTATTTCAAAAGTAATGTGAATAATTTAAAGTCTACAATATGAACGATTTTACTAATTCTAAAGAAATGATTAAAAATGATATTAGTAAATATAGTTTAGATGAAAAGGAACATAATGATAATGATGAAAAAAGTAGTATAAATATAGAAAAAAAATTAAAGGCTAAAAAAGAAAAAGATACAAATGGAAGCTTTAAAGAATTTTCTAAAGAGAAAGATTCTAGTAGAAAAACTGATGAATCTTTAAAAAGTATTAAAAAAAAAAAGGAAAGAAATTATAATGAAGATGAAAAGAGAAAAAAAGATGAAAATAATAAAAAATATAAAAATTGTGAGGAAAAAAGAAATCATAAGAATGATGAAATTTCCAAAGACGAAAAAATTAGCAATAAAAAAAATATGATAAAAGAAGATAATAAAATGAAAACAAAAGAAAAATTAGATGATATAGAAAAGAAAAATGATAAGAAATTTAAAGGAACTGATTATAAAAAAGATAAAAATTTAACGAATAAAAATTGTACAGAGAAAACGGATATTTATTCTAATGATAGAAATAAATATCATACGAATAATACAGAAAATTGTGGTCTTAATAAAAAATATGAGAAAGAGAAATATGAAACAAAAAAAAGTGAAAAGGAAAAAAATTATAAAAAAGGGAAATATGAAGAAAAAAGAAATAAAAATAAAAGAAGTTATGATTATTCTTCAGATGATAGTTGTATCAAAAAAGAAAATAATTATAAAAAAAGAAAACATGAAGAGAAAAAAAATAAAAAAAATATTGAGTATGTATCAGATGATGATAGCAATTTGGGAAAAGAAAAAAATAATAATAAAAGAAAATGTGAAAAAAAGAAGAAAGATAAAAGAATTAATGATGATCATTTATCAACTCATAATAAAGAAGAAACAGAAGAAGAAAAAAAAAATGAAAATGTTAAAAATGATAATGAAAAGGAAAAAGGTAAAAATGAAGATAAAGAAGAAAATGATGATAAAAATAGTAAACTTAGTAGATTAGAAAGGTTAAAGTTATTTGCAGAAAAAATAAAAAAAGAAGGTAATGAAAAAATAACGAAATGCACTAAATTTACATTAAATACTACTAATAATAATAATAATAATATAAATAAAAAGTGTGACATTGATGTATTTATGCTAAATCAAAAAAATAATGATAGAATAATGATTGAGAAAAATATTTCAGTTGATGAAAATATTTCAAAGAATGAAAATCATGTGACAAATGAAAATGATCATAAGAACATACCAGAAGAAAATGAAGATTCTTTAGAATTATTTATGAAGCAATTAGAAATGGAATACAATGAAGAAGAAAAAGTATGTGTAAATAAAACTATAACATTAGATGAAATTAATAGTTATAATCTATACAAAGATAAATTTGAAAATTTTGAAAATTCAGATAAAAACGAGAAAGATAAAAATAAAGTAAATACAAAAGAAGTAAATAAAAATCAATTAGACAAAATAGATGTAGATAAGGATAAAAAAGATGCGTATAAAGAAGATGATAATAAAGAAGATACAAATAAGGAATACATGAATGAAAAAGATACAAATGAAGAAAATGAGAATAAAGATTACATGAATAAGAAAAATGGAAATGAAAAATATAAGAATAAAGAATACTTGAATAAGGAAGATAGGAATGAAGAAGAGAATATAGAAAAGAAGAGTACCAATGATGAACATTGTAAAAATGATAATGATAGTATCTGTAAGAAAAAAACGGAAAATAATTTAGAAAGAAAAGAAATATCTAATGAAGATAGTGAAACTTTCGATAAACATTTTATTGAAGAACTGAAGAAAAAAACAGAAGAGGATATGAAAAAAAGTAAAGAAAAAGAAAATAAAATAATATTTTCTGATGAAGAAGTAAATGAGTCTGATAAGTCTAATGATGAATTAAGTGATGATAGTGAATTTAATTGTGAAACAAACTCTTTAAAAAAAATTAATAAAAAATTGTTACAAGTCAATCATGAGGAAATAGATTATTTACCTATTAAAAAAAATATATATGTACAAGTTAGTGAAATAACAAATATGAAAGAAAGTGATGTTGAAATGTTTAGAAAAAATAATGGAAATATTATAGTACGTGGAAAAAATTGTCCTCGTCCTGTTCAATATTTTTATCAATGTGGTTTACCTTCAAAAATATTACCAATATTAGAAAAAAAAAATTTTAAAAAGATGTTTAATATTCAAATGCAAACAATACCAGCATTAATGTGTGGAAGAGATATAATAGCAATAGCCGAAACAGGTAGTGGAAAAACTTTATCTTATCTCTTACCATTAATTAGGCATGTTTTACATCAGCACCCTTTAAGAAATAATGATGGACCCATAGCTTTAATTTTAACTCCTACAAGAGAGTTAAGTATACAAGTAAAAAATGAAGCAAAAATATATTGCAAAGCAGTCAACTTAAACATTTTAGCAGTTTACGGTGGTTCAAATATAGGAAAACAATTAAATACTTTGAAAAGAGGTGTGGAAATATTAGTTGGAACCCCTGGACGTATTATTGATATATTAACAATAAGTAATTGCAAAGTTACGAACTTAAATCGAGTTTCTTTTGTTGTTTTAGATGAAGCAGATAGATTACTAGACTTAGGTTTTGAAACACAAATTTACAGTATCTTAAATAATTGTAGAAAAGATAAACAAACAGCTATGATTTCAGCTACTTTTCCAAATTATATACAGAATATGGCGAAAAAATTATTATACAAGCCTATTGAAATAATTGTTGGAGAAAAAGGAAAAACTAATAATAACATTTATCAATTTGTCGAAGTTATGGAAGAATCTAAAAAAATTTTTCGCCTTTTAAAATTATTAGGAGAATGGATTAATTATGGTCTAATTTTAATTTTTGTTAACAAACAATTAGAAGCAGATTTGTTGTATCTAGAATTATTCAAATATGATTATAAAACTCTAGTTCTTCATGGAGGTCAAGATCAGGCAGACCGTGAATTTACTTTACAAAATTTTAAAGATGAACAAAACAAAATTTTAATCGCTACATCAGTCATGGCAAGAGGTATAGATATTAAAAATATTATTCTAGTAATAAATTATGAATGCCCAGATCACATTGAAGATTATATTCATAGGATTGGCAGAACTGGAAGATCTAATAATATAGGATATGCATATACTTTTATTTCTCCAAATGAACATTCAAAAGCATATGATATTTATAATTTAATTAAAAATAATATTTACTATATAAATAAAACAATAGATATGCCACAAGAACTTGAAAAAATGGTTCAAGAATATGCAAATACCAATAGCATAGAGTATAAAAAAAAAGGATATAAAGGTAAAGGATATAAATTTACACCTAATGAAAAATCTAGATTACAAATAGATAAAGCGTTAGCTAAAAAGGAATTAGGTTTAGTAGAAGAGAATAATGAAGATCAAAAAGACTATTATTCATCCGATAACGAAGCTGAGAGCAACTTTAATAATATGAACAATAATTACAATAATAATGCCAATATTAATAATACTAAAAGAAATCTTGGAAGACAAAATATGAGTGAATCTAATATTAATCAACAAAATGAAATAAATAATATAGAATTAGAAATACAGAGAATAAAAATGAATGACAAAATGGATCTATCTTTAAAAGCAAAAAAAATTTTTGAATTAATGAAAAATTACAATTTTGATGCATTACAGAATAGCAATAAAAATATTGATAATAACAAAGAAGAAGAAATAGAAAAAATGGCAGAAAAAGAAGCCTTAAAATCAACTCAAAATATAAAAGATGAGAAAGAAAAACAAATGATGTTTAATAAAATCAAAGAAGATGTTAAAAAAAAATTAATTAATAATAAAAATCAATTAGATATCATGAATGAAAGTATACAAAGAAATATGATTTTAAATATGATCAAATCAAAAAATTTGAAAAAATATTCTCCATATTTACCACATACTTATATAACGGAAGATAATAATATTTTAGAAGAATTTTATATTAATGATTACCCACAACATGTTCGCTTAAAAATTTCTCATCGTGATGTTTTGTCAAGGGTTTCGGACATATCAGGTGCTAGTTGTCAAATAAAAGGACAATATTATAACCCTTCTCAATCAAAAAAAAATACTTTTCTTTTTAATGTAAAGCAGTTACATATAGAAATTACAGCATCTACATACAATCAAGTTCAAATTGCACGAAATGAATTTAATTCACTTATTAATGTTTTTATGCAAAAATGTAATACAAAAAATCAAAAACTCAATACAGGGTATAATGTTTTTCATTAATTTTTTTTTAAATGAAGGATATTTTAAAAAAAAAAAAAAAAAATTTAGACAGATTAATATTATAAAAAGAAAAATATTAAATTTAATAACAAAGATAGTTAATATAACGATATTATAAAAAAAAACAAAAAAAATATAGCATTGCAAATTTATTAGATATTTTAAATTTTTTTTTTTTTTTTTAAGCTTTCTTTATCCATATTTTAAAATTTTTTTTGCTTTTAATCACTTTTCTTTTATATCCTTTTTCCTTTTTGATTTTTCCTTTACATGTATTCATTTTTATATTATGAATAACACTATATTTATATAATTAAAGCTTCATGATTAATAGTATAAATATGTTTTTGATGAATTGTCTTTTTTTTAATATATTTACAATTTTGAATTTTTTCAAGTTCATTTGACAGTTTTTTTAGCTATTTTCATTATAATTCTCATAAAAATATATATATATTTTGTTTTTACATTATTCCTTTTATATTTTTACCAAAAACTTCATAAAACATTATAACTCTATTAAATTTTTTTACATTCTAATAATTTATAAAGTTATTAAAACCTTTATATGTCACAAAAATATAAATACTTTAAAAAATTTTCATTTAGCTATTTTTTTTATTAGATATTTATAATTTTAAGAATTCTTAAAAAGAAAAAAAAAGAGTTTTTCTTTTTTTTTTTTAAAGTATTTCCTATAATATATTATGCGTAAATATCTATATATATTCGTTCTTTTTTAATTTTAAAAATATTTTATATTATGACAAAAAAAAAAAAAAAAAAAAAAAAAAAAAAAAAAAAAAAAATTAAATATACAATATACATATATATTTACATCATAATAGTATGAAAAAAGCACAAAAACAAAAGAATGTTAATAAAAAAATTCATAGAAAAGTATCAATTTTTTATATAATATATGATTATTTATAATTAAAATAACTAATAAAAATAAATAAATAAATAAATATATATATACATATATATATATATATATCAAACCATTAAAACATAATATTATATTAAATGAATGTGTGTTATATAATAAATATTTTAATATTTGTATATGTTCATTTAACAATTCAAAATTTTATGAATTTTACAATTAGTAGAATTTAAAAAAAACACATACATATATATATATATATATAAATTATTCATTTTGTCATTTTTTTATAAGTTATAATAAATATTTAAAAATAACATATTAAATAAGTAGTTAAACGTTTCCTTTATTCCTCAAATTCTTGTGTATTCATTTTGTCATATATCCCTTCATTTTTATCAATGTTATCATTTAACATATCAAAATTATCATCTGTATTCTCATCTAAACTTGTTGAAAAATCATTTTTATTTAAATTGCCATTAGAATTACTTTGGTTTGGTATAATATCATTACTATTATTTATATTATTTATATTATGATTTATATCATTATTATTTATATTTTGATTATCAATCGGTTGTCCTTGAGGAGCATTTCTATTTATAAAATTTCTCCTATCATCTAAAAATATTAAATCACTTTTATTATATGATAAAACTACTTCTGTTATTTGCTTTGGTTGATTATTTAAATCATTACCAAACCATCTTCTAGTGTGCAATGATCCTTGCAAATAAACTCTTCTTCCTTTTCTTAAATATTTATCCACCAATTCTACTAAATTTTGATCGTATACTACTATTCTATGCCAATCAGTTTTTGATTTTAATTCATTAGTATTTCTATCTCTCCAAAATTCATTAGTAGCTAAACTAAATGTTGCTACTTTATCTCCTCCATTTAAAATTTTTATATCTGGTTCACACCCTACGCGACCAATTAATGTTATTTTATTTAAAGATTTTTCATTTATAAATGGTCTACTACTAAAATATTTTTTATTTTCATAGTTATAATCATTCTGTAAATTAATTTTTATCAAATTAATTTTTTTATTTCTTATTATTCTTTTGTTTAAAATATTATTTAAGCTGTGATTTTTTACAACACCCGTATATCCATTTAGTTTTAAAAGATAATTTAAATATATTATACTTACCAAAAATAAAAATTTCATTATTTTATCTAGTATATATATTAAATATATAGTAGTAATTTGAAAGATACAAAGATGGGAGAAAAAAAAAAAATAGATATATTAATTATAAATAAACTCTATTTTATATCATTATTTTTCTTCATTTATAATTTTTCTTTGTATTATTTTTTTCTTTAAAATTATATTTTATTTCATTAAAAGATTATAAAAAGGATTATGAAAAAAAAAAAAAAAAAAAAAAAAAAATTGATTATTAAGTATTTTACTCATGAATAAGCATTTAAAATAAATAAAATAAAGCAGTTCAAAACAACAATCAATTTTATTTTAAAAGTTCGTTAAAATTTAAAAAGTAAAATAAATGATAATATTATTTTCCTTCAATTGTTTTTCTTTTTTTGTATAATACCTTTTTTAATTTTTGTTCATTTTTTTTTATAGATTTAATTCATATTCTTATTTATTTTATATATATATATTCACTTAAGTATATATTGGTTAATTTATATATTTGATTAGTTTCTTATTCATTTCCTTTATATTTAATATATATATATATATATATATTTTTTTTTTTTTTTTTTTTTTTTTTTTTTTTTTCCCCATGTATTTTTGAAATTAGAGAAAAAGCCTTAATATTCCATATCATCTTTATTTTTTTAATTTGTATTTATTTTGATCAAAATTCAAAATTTCTCTTATTAAACAATTATTATCTTTTTCCTAAAAACCTAAGTATACCCTTTTTATTAATTTTTAAAAGTTCTTTTTTGTAGAATATGAAACTCAAAATTTTTTTTTGCAATACTTTCATTTTTATATGACATTCTCTTTAAAAAAAGAAAATTTTTCTAATGTAATATGATGATATGACTACTCATTAATTTTACCTTTACTCTTTTAAGGGTGTATTTAAACCGTTCTAAAATATACATTTTTCTAAATTTTTTATATAACATTCAGATTTATAAAATATTACTGCACTAATAAAAATTCTTTCTCTTTTTTTTTTTTTTTTTTTTTTTTTTTTTTTTTTCTATACACACTGTTGTCGAATTAGCTATTTTTATTGATAATTAGAAAATTTTATTTATATTTCAAAAATTCATATTTATATAGAATTATTAATTTATGATATAAATTTAATATTTTTTATTATACATACTAAATCATTTTGTAATGTTACATGTTATTATGTTAATTATAAATTTATCCTTTTCTATTTTGTATTAGTTTTTTATACAAGAATAGGATTTTTATAGATGTTTTGTACTTCTATTCATTTTAAACATATTTATTTATTTTTTTTCTTTTTGTTATTTATGTAAATTCATTTATTTTTTACTTTACTATTTTTATCGACACATTTAAATTTTAACAATGTATATTACTTTTTCATTTTTTTTCTTAATACATTGTTTTCTTATTTATAATATAAAAAATTTACTTTTTTTTTTTTTAGAGTAACTTAATATTTTTTTTTCTTTTTTTTCACCTCTCTTTTTTTAATATTTTCAAGCTATTTTTTTTTCTAGAATATATAAGTTCTCTTCATGTATAACAAAAAATTTCAAATTTATATTTGACAAATAAAAAGTAGAATAGATCAAAAAGAAACAATATATATATATATATATATATATATTTTTTTTTTTTTTTAAATAGCTGCAAAGGAGTGCAAATATATTTTTTAAAATAAAAAAGAGTTAAGAAAAGAAAAAAAGAATATTTATCTTGTTCTAATGCTTGTATTAAATAAATTCTTAAAGTGATATTTTACATACATATAAAGAAGAGACTATTTTATGAATATTAAAAATATGTAAAAAAAGTTTTATAATTTTTTTTGTTAAACTTTTTTATGCTTTTATTAAATATCTACAAAAATAAATATATATATGCATATACATATTTATATTTCTTTTATCTTGTTTTCTTTTTTAATTTTATTTTTACAGTAGTCCACTTTTTTATATGTAATTACACTTTAGAAAAAAAAGACAAATTATGTGCATAATTTAAATAATTTCAAAGATAACCAATCTTCTGCTAATTTTTTCTTAATATTTATTTAAAATACTATTTATTTATAATGTTCTTATTTAAAATACTAATCATTTATAATGTTGATCTTTTAAACTTTTATTTTTAAAAAGAAAAAAAAAAAAAAAAAAAAGTGCGTTTCACTATATACGCACAAAAAATAATGTATTTTTTTTTTTTTTTTTTTTTTTTTTTTTTGAGAATACAACCAATTTATAAATTTTTTTTTAGAAATTTTTAAATAAAAATTTAAAAAAAGATATATATATATATATTTAATATGAAAATATATTATTTTTTTTTTGTTTTAAAAGATAATTTTTTATAAAAAATAAAATGCATATGTAGCATCNATTTTTTTTTTTTTTTTTTTTTTTTTTTTTTGAGAATACAACCAATTTATAAATTTTTTTTTAGAAATTTTTAAATAAAAATTTAAAAAAAGATATATATATATATATTTAATATGAAAATATATTATTTTTTTTTTGTTTTAAAAGATAATTTTTTATAAAAAATAAAATGCATATGTAGCATCCTTTTTAGGGCTCATTGTATCTATTGGTTCTTTTTTTTGTATTAGTAGCAACCATTATAAAAAAAAAATTTTAATCATATTTACATGTATATATGAATATATAATTTTAAATGATTTATAAAGTAAATGTTAAAAAAAAAAAAATATAATTATATTTTTTCTTGTTTAATTCTTTTTTTTTTTTTTTTTAATTTTTTCTCTTAATTCTTTTTTGTTTATATTGTAAAAGTTCAAAGTGTTTGATATGCAAATATTTTTTAATAAAATATTAATGTGTAAAAATTTTTTTATAAAGAATTCCATTTTATTACATATTTTTTATATGTTAAAAACATTTAATTTTTTATTAATAGAATACATATAAGGAAAGTAAGAATAAATTATTATTTTTTATATAAATGCATACATTTGTAAAAATTTAAAATGAGTATACATAATAATATAGCAGAATTAGTCAAAAATAAAAAGGAGATAATAAAGGAAGAAAAAAAAAGACAAAGAGCAAAAAGTTGTGCTTGTGCAAATTCTGTTAGTGAAGATAATAATAATGTTTTAGATAAAAATTTGTTAATTAATAATTTTCTGAATTCACAAAAAATTATAAAAGAAATTCAACAATTAAATAATGTCTCACTAAGAACAGCAACTTATCTGTTAAATGTTGAAATAAAAAAAATAGAAAAAATAAAACAATGTATAAAATGGAAAAATGTTCCTTATATTTATCAAAAATCAGCTGATGAAATATTATTAAAGAAAAATGAATATATGAAAAAATTACAAGAAAAAATCAATGAAAAGAAAAAAAAAAACAGAAAATGTGGTATTACTAAAGAAAAGGGAGATATTAGTACATTTCGCTCTAAAAGTGTTTTTGATGAAAAAAAAAAAAAAAATAATAATAAAAATAATAATAATAATAATAATAATAATACAGTTATTAATAATGAAAGCTTACGTGTTTGTTCTGTACAAAATACAAAAAATGTTTCTGCACGAAAACTCAAAAAAACAGAAAAACATGATGAAAAAAAAAACGAAAAAATAGAAATTAAAGAATTTTCTTTGAAAACATATAAAGGAGAAGAATTGATAAATATAGATAATATAAAAATGGAAAACAGAAATGTACAAAATAATTATAAAGATAATGAAAAAATAATAAATTATGAAGGATGTTGTTATGCAAATAATAATAGTGTAAATGAAAATTATTTTTATTATTATGATGATGAAAAGGATAAAGTTAGTGATGAATATAAAAATGAGAGTTTATTATGTTGTTTAAGAGAAAAAAATAAAAATGAAGAAGATAACAATGTAATAAATGATGAATCATTTGTTAATAAGATGCCACATAATTGTAGAATAAATGATCATAATTGCTTTTTAATTAGCAATATAAATGATCAAAATAAAAAAGGATGCACCAATTTATATGATTTTTCTTATAGAAATAACTTAAATAATATAATAGACATAAAAAGAAAAACAGCAATGTGTGTAGATAATGAGTATTCTAATTTGAAAATTTCAGAAGAAAAAAAAACAAAAAAGACAATCCCTAATTTTGAAAGACACACTGTTTCTTCATTTATTAAAAATTTGAGTACTCATAAAACACTACAAGAAAAAAATTATAGTGAAAAAATGAATAAGAAAAATAAAAAAAATACAATTAATTCTTCCAAGAGAGCATTATCTGCTTGCAATTACTCAACAAAGAGTAAGATAAATAAATTAAATATATTAAAATCAAAAAATGTTAAAGAAGAGATAGATAAAAATAACCAAAATAATAATAACGAAATTAGTGAAAATGAACAAGCGTTTGAGAAGTTATGGAATTTTGTAATTAATAGTCCAGATGCAGGAAGAAATAAAAATATTTCGTTAAACAAAAAAGTTGACTTATTTAATATAGATTCACTAAATGAAGATTACTCTTGGGTAAATAATTTAAGAAATTATAGTAATTCTGAAAATAAAAAATTAAAAAAATTACAAATGAAAAACAATTTTCGAAATTCCTATTCAAAAATATCATGTCGAAATAAAGTTATATATAATAATAAAAATAAAGAAAATGAATTTAATAATAATTTTTTAAATAAAAAATTTGGTACACATTTGACTAATGATAATTTAACAAAAGATAAAAATATACATTTATATAATAGTATTTTTTGTTGTAAAAATGATTATTATGATAAAATAGATGATAAAGAAATGAATAATGATAAATATTTTCTTTACGTTAATAAAGATTATAACAATGATGAGAATTGTAACTTTCATAATAAATATATGAATAATTATATAAATAATGAAGGAAAAAAAGTAGTTAAAGAAAATTATAAAACGAAAAAATTTCTAGAACAAGAAGAAAAAATTCCCTTAGATAAAATTAAAGAACGAAAAACTTATGGTAGAACAGAAGATAATAATAATAATAATATGAATATTCTAGAAGGAAAAAAAGTTTATTATATGAATGAAAATATTCCCAATAATTTTAAAATATTAATAAATGGGACAAATGGAAATGTTATAGAGTATAATGGAAACAAAGTTGAATCAAGATTTGATGTCATAAAAAAAAAAGAAATTATACAAGAAAAAACAGACCAAGAAAATCCAATTTTATGTGGTTATATTAACAATGTGTTTAATGATTGTAAAGAAAATGATAATTATATAAATATAAGATCAAACAATGATAATATTTCTAAATGTATTAAATTAAAAAATAATCAAGAAAATACTTTTCTTAATAATGAATTAAATAATCATAAAACTATAAATTTAAGAGTTAAATGCATGAATAATTCAAATCAAAACTTATGTAATAATGTTAATAACAGTAATTTACATAATGTCAATAACGATAATTACATATATAATAATAATGTTGATGGTAGTTTATCAAATATTAACAACAGAGATAAAAACTCCCTTTTTAATAGATTAAAAAATAAGATTTCTTGTCAGTATTCAAAAAATAATAGTATTGAAGATAATTGTGATACTTTAAGCATAAAAGAAAAAATAAAAACAGATGAAAATGCCAATAATTACGAAGATATATGTAATAGAAATGATAGCATAAGGGAAAAAAATGAAAATTTAGGCGAAATGGATATAGAAGATAATCATTGCTTTAAAACATTATGTGTTTATAATAACTTTATTCTAAAAAAACAATGTAATGAAGACGAAAATAATGAAGTGAACTCTTGTACTGAAGAAAAAGAATTAGGAGTAAATGAAACAAAAAAAAAGAAATTAAATAAACAAAAAAAAAGGAATTCTAATAAAATCTCAAATAAAGATAGCATGGAAGATAGTACAAGATCCGATATGACATATTATAATAGCGATTCTTTTGATAGTTCTCAAAAATTAAAACATTTTTGTTGCATAAGTGAAAGATATAATGAAAGTAAAAATGAAGATAAAGATAATGAGGAAACTCCTAAATATAATAAAGTAAGATATAGTTGTAATACAGATACAACTAAAAAAGGTAGTATCATTAATGAAAAGGATATATATAGTGTATCTAAAGAAATTCATAATGATATGCCTATTCTGAAATGTAAAAATTTAAATGAAATACTTCATAAAAATTGTAATCTAAATTTTAATAAAAATATGGACTTAAATTATGAAGAGGATAATAAAAACAATGAAATTTCTAAAATTGAATATGTAAAACCAGTTTATGATAATATAGATTTTAAAAATGGTAAAATAATAGAAATGAATAGAAAATCATCTAATTTTACTTGCTTTTCTTTAAATAATAATATAAATAATGAGAAAATTTCTTCATCTTTAGATAATTATGTAAAGATAAAAGATAAAATTCTTATACCAAAACTTAAATTAGATAAAATTCAAAATAAAAATGGACAAAATTTTAATTCTTATGAGATCCAAGAAGTTTACGCACTAAATGAAAGTAATTCTAATAAAAATAATTTAAATAAAAATGATTTAAAAAAGAAAAATTATACAGAAAATGGTTTTTTCAATATAAATCCTAAATGTTGTTATTCTTTTGTAAATTGTAATAATACTAATAATAATAACTTTGCTATCAATAATTTTGTTAATAATGATGAATTTTCTGAATATAATCTTCATAATAGTAATTCACTTAATTTTGAAAGTAAATATTTAGAAGTTCCATATAATTCGAAAAATTTGAGTGAAAGCAAAGTTAGGAACTTTTCTAATATAAATAATAAAGATGTTATTAAAAAAAATATATATTATAACAATATACCTAAAGAAGGAAAAGAAAAAAATTTAAGATCATTAACAGTTGACTGTAATTATTATAAACCTAATACCATATGTGGATTAAATAATTTAGAAAGAAATTCAATAGTTATGAACAACTTTACTTCTAATCAAATGCATCTAAGTAAAAATAAAAATGAAAACACATCTTTAAATTATGCAATTACTAAAAATGTTTTCAATAATAGATGTACAAGTCACATAGTAAACAAAACCTCTGGTCATCATTCAAAAAGAAAATTCTTTTTAAACGATTATGAGGATTTAAGATGTGATGCTGGAAATTGTCAAAGTATTAAACCAAATTTGAATTGCATTAAAATAAATGATATGACTAATAGAGGTAATCAATTTTTACAAAATAAACATTCCAGTAATTGTGTAGATATTTATGTTTATTCAAATAATTTAAAGAATATAAATATAAGTGATAATAAAAAGGATAATTTTCAAGTAAAAAATAAAAAAACAAATATAGATGATAATATTAATAATAATAATAATAATTATTTTGATGATAATAATAACGATGACAATAATAATAATGACAACAATAATAATAATAATAATAATGACAACAATAATAATAATAATAATAATAATGACAACAATAATAATAATAATAATAATAATAATAATAATAATGACAACAATAATAATAATAATAATGACAACAATAATAATAATAATAATAATAGTAATAATAATAATAACAACAATAATAATGACAACAATAATAATAATAATAATAATGACAACAATAATAATAATAATAATAATAATAACAACAACAACAACAACAATAATAATAATAATAATAATAGTAATAATAATGAAAATAACAACAATAATAATAATAATAATAATAATAACAACAACAACAACAACAATAATAATAATAATAATAATAGTAATAATAATGAAAATAACAACAATAATAATAATAAACTTCACAAAAATAATTACAATAGTAACAGTAAAAATAATAGTAGTTGTGTATATAATAGATCTAGTAGTTATAATATTAGACAAAACAATAGTTCAATAAAATCCTATACAAGTAAATTTCTAAATTTTTTTAGAAAAAGTAATAATAAAGATGAAACAAAAATTAATAATAAAAGTAAATTAGAAAATAAAGTAAATAGATTGAATTCAAATTATACCAGAAATAAAATTATAAATATTTCATCTTTTACAAAAAATAACTTTCAAAATATTAACACATATAACTCTATAAATAATTTAAATTATCTAAATAATAATAAAAATAATTTTATTCCTGTATTTAAAGATAACTTTATTCCTCCAACTATGACTTTTATTAGAAATTCAAAAAAAAAAGAAAGAAGTAAAACTACTCCATTAAACAAAAATAGCTTTCTTTCAGTAAATAATTCACGACATAATGCATTAGTTGATTATAAAATTGATTCTCAAATTTCAAATTTTAATTTATTAGAAAAAAGAAAGACATGTAATTTTTCATCAGTTCCATGTGACAATAATAATTTATATAATTCATATCAAAATGGGATATCTAGTAAGATGAATTTAAATATAAATGATTTTAGTAATCTTACAAATAAAAAAACAAATAATAATTATAATGAGAAAATAGCACATGGAGAAGTTAAAATAGGTTATATTGAGGATAATTGTAATACAAACTCTAATAAATATAATTATGTGGATAAAGAGAATATATTAAAAGATATTTCACTAAATAATCTAAATTATTGTAATGAAAATGATATATTGTTTAATAAAAGGAACTATCATAACATTTCTCCAACTAAACAAAATGAAATAAAATATTATGATGCTAATAATGATAATAACAATAATGCTTCAAATTTATTTGAAAAAAATGTAAATAATAATGTTTTTTATAATAATAATAATAATAATAATATTGGTTATCATGATATTAACCAAAATAATTTTACAATAAGTAACAATGATAATTTTTTATGTAAAAATAACAATAATGAAAATTATAAAATAGATAAAAATACTTTAGATAAAAACAAAAATGAAACATATTCTGATCAATATTCAACAGATATATCAGACAGAATTTCTGTAAATCATTCAGGTAGGTTATCAAAAAATGAAAAACAAATGGATGATCAAAATGTATATGAGAAAAGTAATTTTCAGACTAATATGCCTAATGAGATATACTGTGGATATGCAAGGGAACAAACTTTTAATGAAATTTTTAAAAATCCAGGTATCTTATATAATAAAGATACTAATGAAAAAAATATCAATCAAATAATTTATAATGAATTACATCCTATTACGAAATTAAATGGAGAATATAAAAATAACATGTATATAAATAAAGAAATATGTGGAAGTAATTCCATAGATAAATTACATAAAAATGAATTATTTACACAAAATACAAAAGATCATTTAATTTATAAAGAGCTTGAAAGCTTTCATATACCAGTTAAAGAAAATATATTGAATAATCAAATTTTAAAAAATGAAAATTCAAATTATCAATCAAATTATGCAAAAAATTTTGCCTTTAATGTTAAAGGAAATCAGAAAATTAATAAAAATTTAGAACAAAATTTTGATATAATAGAGGAGAATAATCAAGGAGTCAATGGAAATAAATATGTAAAAATAGATGAAGTAGATGGAAAAAAAGATAATAAATTATATATAAATGATGAAATTTATCCAAAAATTGAGAAAGAAAATGAAAGAATAAATGAAAAAATTGAAGATAATGAAGAAGAAAAAAATAGTGAAGTTGTAAATGAATATGAAGAAGTAAAAGAAAAGAAACATATGATGATAAAAAAGGAAGAGAAGGAAGAAGAAAATAAAGAGGAAGAAGTAGAGGAAGAAGAAGATGAAGAGGAAGAAGAGGAAGAAGAGGAAGAAGAGGAAGAAGAAGAAGAGGAAGAAGAAGAAGAAGAGGAAGAAGAAGATGAAGAGGAAGTAGAGGAAGATGAAGAGGAAGAAGAGGAAGTAGAGGAAGAAGAAGAAGAGGAAGAAGAAGGTGAAGAAGAAGAAGAGGAAGAAGAAGTAGAGGAAGAAGAAGAAGAGGAAGAAGAAGTAGAGGAAGAAGAAGTAGAGGAAGAAGAAGATGAAGATGAAGAAGAGGAAGAAGAAGATGAAGATGAAGAAGAAGAGGAAGAAGAAGATGAAGATGAAGAAGAAGAGGAAGAAGAAGAAGTAGATGAAGATGGAGTAAAAGAAGAAAAAAATAAAGCTAATAATAGCGTTAATATTAATAAAAATAAAATCCCTTTTTGTAAGAAATCTATAGTAAACGAGAAAGAATTAAAAAATATCAACAAAATAGATGATTTGCTAAATGTAAAATTAGAAAAGAATATGTATAATTCAATAAAATTAACCAATTTTGATAATTCAAAAGATGATAATTTAGATGAATCATTATGTAAAAATAATAACATATTCAAATTTCCTACAAGGAAAGATATAAACAGTAAAGAAAAAATAATAAAAACATATGAAGACATAGTTGAAAATAAAATAATACCTTTAATTAATTCAGAGGTTAAAAATGTAATACAAGAAAAATTATTAAGTAAAAAGGATATAATCGTAAACAATTCAGATAAAAATTATGATTCACTTAATTATACGAACTCTTCACAAAATAATGCATCTATGGAAAAAACGTGTGATAATTCGGAAACAAAACACTCAAAAAATAATATAGATACTCAAGAAAATTATGATCCCAATTACTATATGAATAGAATTCCATCTTCTATTAATGAGAATAAAAAAGAAAAAGTAAGTACTTTAATAAAAAACTCAAAAAAAAGTTTAAATTCTCCTTATAGTCGTTTAAGTAGTACAAATAATAAAAATTTTCTATCTACACCAGTACCAAATGGAAATTATTCTTCACGAATTTTTTCTTTTGATAAAAAAAAAGAAAACAATTTAAATACTATTGACAAGAAAAATAATATAAATAAAGAAAAAGATGATATATCACTCAAATATAAAAATATGGATAATTTCAGTAAAAATTCATTATCTAATGCAGTTTTAAGTAGTAATGTTAGTGATAACTATACAAATTTAACACACAAAAATCTGGATGAAATCGAAAAGCAAATAATACGTAGCAAAAGAAACAATGAAGATTTAAAAAAGAAACTACAAGAACAAATAATTATACAACAAGGACTTTTAAAAATAAAGGAACAGCAACAGATTTATATAGAAATGTTGAAACAAAATGAAATGGAGAAGCAAAAAGAAAAGACTTATATTAAAAACATATAATGAAAGACATTTTTTTCTATTATATATTAAAAAAAAAAATTAAAACATAATTGTTTTAATTCAATTTTTTTTTTTTTTTTTTTAATACTTCAAATTGTATATTTATTGTGACAATAAGTTTTTATTATTATATTTTTATTTATTTTTTATTTTTTAATCCTACTTTTTTTATTATTTTCCATTACTGCTAATCAGCAGATAAATATAATGATTTATAATCTTTTAAAAAAAAGAAAAAAGCAGCAAAATTTTTATTTTTTTTTTTTTTGTATATTTTTCTTAAAATTTTTTTTTTTTTATTGTATTATTTTTTCACACTTTTTTTTGGAAAAAATATAATATTACAAAATCACCTTTGGGCTTTTTCTTTAATTTTTTTTTGTGAACTTTTAACATATATAAAAAAAAATATAAATTTTTTAAAATTATATATTAATTAAAATTTTTTAAGTATTATAAACAAATTTTTTTTTAAAAAATTATATAAATACAAAATGAAAAATTATAAAAGACTTTTAAAAATGAAAAAATGGGATGAAAAAAGGAACCATCAGAACTTTTGCATTAAGATAAATATTTTTATTCCAGTATAAAGAAGAATAAAATAAAATAAAAATCACTATTTTATTGCATATTCCTTCATCAAAATCTTTTTTATTTTAAATATATATTAAATAAATCATTTTTTTTTTTTTTTTTGAATGTATATTTTATATACTTTTTATTTTTTTAAAGTTTCCTTAATATCACAATTTTTCCTTTTCCTCTTAAATATATTGATCCACTTTTTTTTCAAAGTTAAGTTAAATCAACACCACCATCTGCTGTTAATTCTACATTGGGTTCTACATTTAATTTTGATTTTATAATATAAAGAAAATGAACTTTCCAATTGTCTAATTTTGTTATACGATCATATTCATGAACTATTTCCTCAAAGTATTCTATATTTTGTTCTGTAACTGCTTCAATTATATCATCCAAGAACTTTTTCTCTCTTGAATTCAAAAAACGTGGATCATTCATACAATATTTATCTATTGAAATTTTTGCATTAACTAAATCACCTATTACAATATGTAATATTCCTGCCTTTATATAATAATCTCTTGCACCATATTGTAAAAGTGTACTTTTTAATGCTTTTTCTGCTTCTTTTTCAAATATCTGAAACAATATATATATATATATATGAATTATTATATACTATTTGTGCTTTTTTTTTTTTTTTTTTTTTTTTTTTTTTAAATTTTTTTTTTTTTTTTTTTTTTTTTTTTTTTTTTTTTTTTTTTTTTTTTTTTTTTTTTTTTTTTTTTTTTTTTTTTTTTTTTTTTTATACAGATATAGCTTCTTCATATTCATGATTGTATTGAGAATTTAACTCAGCATATTTTACAATACACTGAGTATAAACAGATCTAAAAAAAAAAAAAAAATAAGTATATATTAAAAAATTCAAACATTAACAAGTTACTTTATGCAATTTTTTTTTTCTTTTCTCATTTATTTTATTTGTTTCCTTTTATAGTAATTAATTATTACTTTGAATATTCGTCCATTTCAAAATAATATGCTGCTTTTTTATAATATTTAGATGCGTTATCATATTCACATAAATCTTCATAGATTTCTGCGATATTCTTCTCACATTTTCCACAATTAGAAAATCGTCCAAGTGTTGCATACAAATTAACTGATTCTTCAATATATTTTATAGCTTCTAAATTAAAAAAAAAAAAAAATAATAAATTAATGTAATAATAATAATAATAATAATAATAGTACTAATGTTAAAATAAATATATATATTTAATAAGTATAATCATATTAATAATAAATAAAACTCTACTAACCCAATTTATCATATTTTTTCGCTATGTTTCCTGCTTCTAAATATGCATTAGCACAATAACTAGTTTCATTATTTTTTTTATGTAAATTTGCATTTTTTAAAATACACGAACAGGCTTCCTTCCCTAAAAGATATTTTAAGAAATAATATAAATAAATAAATAAATATATAATAACATTCAATCGAACTTTATAAAATAAAAACACACATCAAAATATAATAAAAAATTTACATAATTATACAAATATTTCTCATATTTAATACACATTAATTAATATTGTTATATTAAATCATTAATATTTAAATACATTTTCATATTTATTTATAAAAAAAATTTAACATTTATGAGATAATTTATATTTATTTGCAGCCATATTATAACAATTTATAATTTCATCTGTATTATCATTTCCAAAAAAAGAAGCAAAAAAACCTTTCTTCTTCAATTGTTCTGCTTTTTTTTCAAGTTCTTTTGCTTCGTATTCCATTTTCAAAATTGAACATATATAATGATTAAAAAGATATATATATATATATAATTATAATATTATCAAAAATAAATGATAAAAAATTATATAAATAGAAAATAAAATTTTATCCTAATTACAATCTATCATTTATTTTTATATTATATATATATATATATATGTATCTTTATTTTCTTTTTAATTTACATGATAATATATATATATATATATTTTTCTCTTTATAAATATATATTATTTTAATATACTTTTTTATATTTTACACTAACATTCTTTTTGAAATGTAAGTAGTTATATTTTTCTTATTTTTTTTTTTATTTTACATCCTTTTTTTGTATTTTTCACTTTTATATTTTTTTTTTTTTTTAATATTATGTAAATATATCTATAAATTCTTGTTCTTTTTAAAATAAAAACATTTTCATTTTTCAGATAATTTATGTATAAAAAATTTTTTCTTTTTATTTTTTATTAAAATAATATTACAAAAATATATAAATTTATCATCTTTTTTTCATTTAAGATATATTTAAAATAAATCTAATGAATCAACTAAAAAAGTATGCTATAAAGTATTTTATATATTACGAATATATATATATATGTATGTAAATTTAGAATAATTTTCTAAACATAATTTAAAATTAAAATAATGAAACTTTTCTTATTTTTTAAAGAAAATAAAATTCCTATTAATAAGAATTATATAGTTATCAACTTAAATTACAATGAACACAACCTAAGATAATGTAAATTAAATTCACCATTCTGATATTTTATTTTAAATTTTTTTTTTTTTTGTTTTAAAATAGTAATACAAAATAGTTTTTATTATTAAGAATAAGAGATTCTAATAATAAAAAATAGTAATTGTAAAATTACATAAAAATAAATGTAAAAAAGAAGAAAATTTTTTTTTAAATAAAAATCAAAATCCATTTTTTTCATTTATTATTCAGAGATATTCAGGTCTTTTTTTTTTTTTTTTTTTTTTTTTTTTTTTTTTATTGGAAAATAGAATAATTTACTCAGGAACATTTATGAAAATCTATTTAAAAAAAATTAGGAATATAATATATCTTTTAAAAACAAATTAGAAATATAAAAAGAACAAAAAAGTAAAATAAATCTTATGTATTTATAATAAAAACTTTTGAAATTTTGTAAAAGATAAATGTGTTTGCATTTCCGATAGTATATATATGATTAGTAAATGAACATTATAAATATTTCTTTATGATATTTTTATTTTTTATTTTATTTTGCAAACATATACACTATATTTATCTTTAAACTTCTAAAATCTATTGCATTTTTATTTTTTTTTTATTTTATATGTATACGTTGCTATTTTTTCATTTATCATTTTTATTCTAATAATAACTTTTATTCTTTTTTAAATGTTTAATTTGAAAAAAGGAAAAATAAGTACATAAATAAAAAATTAAGTTCATATTAATTTTATAATAGAAAAAATATGATTCAAAAAGTATCTTTACAAAAAAAAAAAAAAAAAAAAAAAAAAAAAATATATGTATATATAAACTTTCATTATACTTTTAAAATGAATAATTTATTTAATTAAAAAATTTGTTTTTGTTTTTCTATTTTAAAAAAAAAAATCACATTTGATCAATTAGTTTAGGTATATTATATATATATATATATATATATATATATATCATTATTTTTTATTTTTAAATAATCTTTGATATTCTTTTTCGCT